AAACTGGAAAATGTTTTGGAAAAAATGGTGTGAGCCGTTTTGATTTAATCAGTAAAATAAATTAATATATTCATTCAAATGTAAAAAATGTTATTGCAAAAGTATAGACTCATCATGATTTGCACAATTTAGATAGTATTTTTTCGGCAAAATTATGACATGAGACATCATCAATTTTCTGGGGGGGATAAAGAGATTTGATTAAAAATTTACCATGCCTGCAATAACTTCAAAACGTCTGCAAGATTACAAGGCATTCGGTTTTGCAGTTCTTGATTTAATTAATAAAATAAATTGAATCATTAATTGTTTTGCATCACCCTGTATAAGCAAATCGAAAAAATATGAATTCAAAGAGCAAAATAAGAGTGAGAAACGATACTGCAGACAAAACGTTGGTGGCAGCTCTTTGTACAGGTGGCTGCCTGGTTGCAAGATATAGGTACACGTAAATTAGAGGAAGCAAGTGACCAATTTTGCATTTTTCACAATCTCGAGATCATTTGTGTCAACAAACGATCAGTCAAAGACGAAATCGTATTTTTGTAATAACCAAATTAAAAACAAATAAATTTTATTTTATTTTATTACATGTTTATACATCGGAAGAATGTCATGTAAACATTTGTTTGATTTGAATGAGTTTATCGCCTCAAAACCGATGACTAAAATTATTCATAAGCCTCAATTGAAAAAAAATATTCTGGATGTTTATTATAATTCTTACCTTATCATTATTTTATTGTTATAAAGACGAGCATATTCTCACATTTTCGAGAAAATGTTCTTAAACTGATCAATAATAAATTGACTGATTCATTAATTTTTTTGAGCCACCCTGTATAAGCAAATTTAAAGAATATGAATGCAATGATAAGTTACAAGTACAGTCTGATCATATTTTGCACGTTTTCGAAAGAATTTATATGGCAAAATTTTGAGATGACGTAATTAATTTTTTTCACTAGCAGCCATGACGCATGCAAATGTCGACTCATTTAGTGGTAGCAAATTCAACTTTTGCGACCACCGGTTCAAAAAGAAAAATTGAGGTTATGTACGCAATGTTTGATGTGATTATTTCTTAAAAAATGAACAAATGTGTGCTACAAACATTACTTGAGTATACGCATGGTAGTTGGTAGACGGTAGAAGATAAAATGATTAACTCAGCGACAAGTATAAACGGTTTTCTTTGTGTTGAAGATTTAGATTAAGTTTGATTAGAAATCAAAACAAAATCATGTTGCGTCAAAAAATTGAACGTTTATTTTTTCAGTTTATTGTCTTATGGTTTCTACTAGTGAAAAAAATAGTATATTAACCACGTTTGCAAAGCCACTTCTAGACCTCGCGCTTCAGAACCCTCGACGCTGCGCGTCTCGGGTTCTAATTTGCGCTCGGTCTAGAATGCTTGGCTCTGCAACCTTGGCTAATAATATACTATTTTGGGGTTGATAAACAGATACATTTTGGTTAAAAATTTATCATGCTTACAATAACTTCGAAACGTCAAGATTTCAAAGTACATATTCAGTTTTGTAATTCTTGATTTAATCAATAAAATTAATTGATTCAGTCATTAATTTTTTCAAATACCATATATAAGCAAATCTAAAAAATATTAATGCAGTGATAAATCACAAGTATAGACTCATCAGTCATCACACTTTGTATGTTTTAGATAGGATTTATTCAGCAAAATTTTAGGGTGACATCAATTTTTACCATGCCTATGATAACCTTGAAACATCTCCAAGATTTTTTTGCAGTTCCTGATTAAATCAATAAAATAAATTCAGGCATTCATTAATTTTTTTGAGTCGCCCTGTATTTGCAAATCCAAAAAATATCAATGGGATGATAAATCGCAAGTACAGACTCAACATATTTTGTACATTTTAGATAGGATTTATTCGGCAAATTTTTGAGCTGACGTCATCAATTTTTTGGAGGGGAAAAGTAAATATATTTTAATCAAAAATTTATGATTCTTATCATAACTGTAAACAATCTGCAAAATTTCAAAGCACTCAGTTTTGCAGATTCAAAATTAAATTGCAATATCATGTTTCATAATTTTGTTTTTTTTTCAAAAAATCTGGACGTTTCGGGCAAAAACTCAATTCGGAGTCATAAACTACATGTGTAGGACTATGTTATTTTTTACAATTTAGAACCCATTTACTATTTACAATTTTTGAAGTGACGTCATCACATTATTGGTGGGGATGATTAGATAAATTTTGGTTAGCGTTTTACCATCTATGATATTTCTAATATAAGTACAAAGTTTCACAACAATCGGTCCAGTACTTTCGGATATTATCTGTGTAATAAAAATACGGGACGGCAGACAGACGGACGGACAGATAGACAGACGGAAGCGGGAGACCTATTTCTTCGTACTGTAGTGGTTGTTGAAGGTCGAGAAAACGTAAAAGTAGAGAGTCGGTCGACGGACTCGATTACAATACTTCCTTCACTTACGCTCGGGAAGTAAAAAGTCGACATGTCGAGATTAAACTCGACATGTTAAGTTTAAACTCGACATGTCGAGTTTTTTCTCGACATGTCGTGTTTTTTCTCAATATGTCGAGTTTAATCTCGACATGTCGAGTTTTGTCTTGACATGTCGAGTTTTTTCTCGACATGTCGAGTTTAATCTCGACATGTCGAGTTTAATCTCGCCATGTCGAGTTTTTTCTCAACATGTTGAGTTTAATCTCGACATGTCGAGTTTTTTCCAAAAAAAAATTCCACCTGACCATTCTACGCTTCCGTATGAATGAAATCATTGTATTTACGTTTTTTTAGCAGCTGCCAAACACTTACAGAATCCCACACACTCTTAAGAACTGAGAAAAGCAACAGACTGTTGCGAGGGATCCGATTACACCTCAATTACTACAAAATGCATTTGATGATAAAAAAGGGAATGGGAGGGTCTAAAAGGTTGGCCTTTTTTACCTTCAATCTAAGGTTGATAACCGTGCTTTTTCATGCTTCATTAATCCATACGCTGGTGATTTTTAAGAATTATACATCCGTTTACCAACAAGGCAGTTTATAGTTAACATTTCCTCATTCTGAAATCATGTTTTTACAGAAGCCGATGTGTTGGGAACTTACGGCATTATAATACCGTAATAATAATATTGTATAAAAATGTCAAAAGAAAAAACAATATTTACTTTAATGGAAGTCTTTACCTTTTGGATTACTTTTCTTTTCCTTTAAGATCACATAAAAATAAACAAAAATTAAACGACCAGTAAAGAAGTTTGCCAAGCTGCATATATTTTAGGTGCAAAAAAACAGGCAACTTTAAGTTACCGTTTTATCACGATAACATGAAAGTAACTTAAAATTTTACTACAATCGGTTCTGCAGCTTTGCACACTATTTGCATAATACATTTCCAATTTATACACAAAAAGCAGGAGCAAATGGGAAACTTGCTCTTTCATATTCTAAACGAGTGGTAAAACACCAAGAAAACATAAAATTAGGCATTCGTAAGTAATCCTTTTGCAACATTTCCCTTGGCTCTCATTCGAGGAATGAAAATACTGCGTTATTCCATTACTTTCCTTTAAGATCCGCATTTCTCAATATTTACGAGTATCGGCTATCAAACATTAAATATTACTGTTGGCACTTGGACCCCGTTTAAAAATTATTGGCAAGTGTATTGAAAGCAAAAAATCGCTTAGTATAATGAATGAATAAAGTACTGCTGACACAAGTAAGATATATTCTAAAACAATAACTATTCTTGTCAGTGGGTTACAACTTATCAGTGTGATATTTTTACTGAACATTGTTCTTATTTTCTTAAGAATACACAGAGATGATAAGTAGTGCACAGCACCCATAAAGTTATAATAATATTTTCTGAAAAGGCTATATTATTTTTTTGCGTCTTTTGATTCCAACGGTACTTATTTTTGAGAAATTATTAAACCGTGGTGCTAGGAAAAAAAAACAATCTTTACAAGTATTTCTGTCAAATTAAATTTTTTATCTGATTATTCCATATATTACGGTACAATGCAACATGAAGCTAATTTTTACTGAGAAAAACAGATCGAATAAATTTAATTTGTAGTTCAAAAAAGGAAATAATAATATACTAGCTTCAACAATTTACTCTAATAAGAGTCCATGAAAAACAGTGCATCTAAAGTGCTTTTTTCCTTTTAAGTGATTTGCGTTCTTTCGGCTGTTAATAAGAACCTGAAGCTTAATGTTCTTCAATTACTGTTCACAAAAAAACTAGCATTTGTCTGTGTAAACGGCAATCTGTTCCGTGTGAGGCTATTAACTCATTATTTTTACGGTTTTACATTCAAATTTACAATTAAGATAGACTTTATGATAAAACTGCTATATTTTTACTAAACTGCTAAAGTGTTCCCTTTCTACGCTGACAGCTCTAAATCTGTTCAGCTGTTTATTAATTATTATACTAGAAAAAACTCGACCAGACCCTAATTTTGTGTAGTTAGGTATTTTATTACAGCCTACATGTTTTAAATTTTATATATTGCTCTAATTATGATAATTATAACTTACTCCACGTGAACCGTAATTTATCACTCCATCATAATATCTTGTAACTTGCCAAATTAAAAAAGTATTTATAACGACCCACCTGATGAGCACGTTTAAATTAAAAATTAATTAACAACTTTATTCGTCAAAGTCTAATTGGAGGCAAGTTGTAAAACTAAATTAACCTCGTCAAATCAACCAAAAAACACATGCTTAAAAACCAATTCACATACATCTTGTGTACGATTTTCGTCGACGTTTATTGTACTTTTATATGTTTTCACCGATGTTTTCTTGTCAAAAAAAGTTAGTGAGCCGGAAAAACAGTTACACTCCATCAGTCGACACAACCAGGTTGAACGCTCTTTGATGGGCGGTCATGTAAATTTACCAGACAATCACAGCGTGGTCGTAAAGTTGCATAAGATGCAATAAATACTCACAACTCCCTGAGAAGTTCATCGGATGAGTGATGGCGTCGTATCGGTCGATGGACAGGGCAACGAGCACATAAGTAGAAGAATATGTGACCACGGCCTGGAGGAAACGTATAATTTTACAGAGAACATTCCCAGCATGCCAAGCCACTGTTATTCTCCAAGCGATGTCGGTGGACACGTTAATTAAGCCCACCGCTAAATCTGAAACAAAGTTGTTAAATAAACTTCCTTAATTCTCAAGTATAATGGAGGAAAAGGCACGACACGACAACAAACCTAAGTGAAAATTCACAAAAAAACGCTCAAGTACTTGTAAGATGTTTACAGTGTCGGACAGTTAATCTGTCCTTTATATCTTGCATTTTGATGTTCTTGTTGAAAGGATCAGATAATGCTGTGTGTTTTCCTACTGTTGACTTAATTGTGACACGAGAAAATAAAAACTAAAAACGTGTGTAAAGTTTGTAACGTCCAGATTGAGATGATGTCATCAAGTTTTGGTGAAGAGTTAATTTATGTACGAATTTTGACATGCAAAGTAAAGTTAAATAAATGTTGCTGCTACTACTGACTTGACTGCCAATTGTTTGGCATGTCCGTCCAATTTGCACTGAAAATCTCTATAGATCTTGTAAATTCTGTCCAGTAACGAGGCTTGCGGTAATTTTGAAAATATCAGATAAATTTTCTTGACACTAATGCAGTACTGTAACAGCTGAAGTAAGATAATGTAGTCCATATACCAGTTCATGTCTAGCTGACAGCGTATAACATACATAAACAATACATTTTATATGAGATTTCTCAGTGGTATCGCTAATTCGATGCAAACATCTCCACATCTCAAAACAGTAGGAGGTACACAAATCTTGCAAAATTTAGCATATAATCTTTGTTGCAGTCAAATTTGATCCTTATTTACCAAAATTTGGCTGTAAGTTTGTTTTTTATTTTCTTAACTATTCTCATTAAAAACATTACCATTTTTTTGTTATTAAGAAGTCGACAAAACGGGTACTTTTCAAGCATAAGTTTGGGTATATTTGGGAAATGGATAGTTACACATTTTTTCGACATTTTACTCTTTACCTCTTTAATATAAAAATGTCGGTCTCACCTTATCGTCTGTCTGTTGGCGATTTAATTAAAGATGCATAATGAGTGAAGTATCAAGGATGACTCTGGAATTTTTTCTTCTAATTATGTGACCATTTATACAGCTGACTGATTGACGACATGTCGATTGCAGAGATCTCATAACGTAGAGAGTGACACTTTCAAAGCCGCCTTTGATGCCAAAATTATTTATAGGCACTTTGTATATTGCAAATTAGCAAATTTTAGGTATCTTGAAGACATCATCTCGAACTGTTATAAAACACTATGCTTTTACACCTAACCCTCTCTACTGCTTACCTTCAACCTCTAGATTTTTGAAAAAAATTCAAAAGTTTTATAAAAAAAATTTAAAACTTAAGATTATCGTCGACAACGTAAATCGCTAATCTAAAGTTATCTGTCTATTCTACTGCTTACAGAACCTTGTTGAGGTCGTCTTAAAATTGATGAATTCTATCCAAAATAAGTAAAATATTACGCGTCTACCCTTGTGGTTTTTAAGTAGACCATATTTGTGACCTTGCAAATGCAGATTTTTGAATTCACTTCATAGTTCGAAAAATGTGTCTATTCAACCTAATTAAAATATTGATAATACAAATTACCTCAAAATTTTTTAACTAAATCGTATACGTTGTTTATTATAACACTGATATTTTTTATTTTAATATACAGGGTCTTTACTAACGATACCGCAAAAATTCAGGGAGTTATCCCTGAGATTATTTTAAGTTTTTTTGATCTTGAATTATTTTCGAAAAGACATTTTGTTTCCAAGACACGGGATCTCCGCTTGGGTTTTTAGAGGATGTAGCTACCATTGATGATTGAAGGAGACATGTAGTGTCGTTTATGCACGATGATGCACCAGCACACGACGATGCATCGGTCGATTTCACTTATAGCCTGCTCAACCCCCAGACTTAAATTCCTTGGATTTTTATTTATGGGGCAATTTGTAAACAATGAACACTACTCCAGCAGGAAATGAAGAAGATTTGAGAAATCAGATAAATGAGGGGTGAAATACATACAACCCTCGTATTTTTACAAAAGTTCGGCAATCAATGGGGAGAAAATTGGGTAGTCTGTATCATTTTCAGCAATTTTTGTAGATTAAGAATCTTTACATAAAATATGAATGAATAAAGTATTGTTGTTTTCTCTCTATTTTTCTCTGTATTTTCAAGGAAAAAAAATCTTAAATAACAAAAAGGATGACTCTCTGAATGCTTGCCTATATTTAGCAAACACTGTGCACAGGTATTATAAAAAAAAATTGCAAAACGAAGTTTTATAATTTATGTAAACAACTGGAAATGTTTTTGTCTAAATAACTTCGATTTTTTTCTTTGAGAAGATATTGGGTAATAAATGCTATCATAAGACTAAGATTACTTAAATTCAGTCAGTATTGGAATACATTTACTTAGAAGTAGCAGAACCCAGAACATTTCATGCGAAAAAAAAATGAAAACATTTAGAGACACAAATGCAATTAAAATTCCGCTGTTAGAGTTACCGATCTTAAAATACATTAAGTAATAAAACTAAAAAGAATTTATTAAGAACAAATAGGAACTATGTCATTTGATCTTACAGTAATTTTGATCCAAAATTTCACAGACAACCCAACAAATAAATTTCTTCTAGAATAATTTGAGGTTTTGGACAGTGTTAAAATATTAGGTGACGTGTTTTGTTTTAAAAACATCAAATCATTAATTTATACTTTCCGAGCGTAAGCGAAGGAAGTATTGTAATAGAGCCCATGGGGCGACTGGCTACTTTCATGGTTCCACCAAAACATAGTCTCCTTTCGGTCTGTCTATCGTCTGTGGTCTATCTGTCGTCTGTGTTGATTTTTATTAGACCGTTCATCTTTGAAACTATTGGATCGATAGTGGTCAAATTTTATATGTATATTATGAAAATCATGTTTATAGTAAAACGTTAACCAAAATTGGTCTAATCATCCCCACGTTGACGTCATCTATAAAATTTACAATAGTAAATGTTATTTGGATTTTACAGAGTAAAATAGTCCTACACTTGTGTTTTAGGAATCCGTGTTGAGTTTTACCATAGACATCCAGATTTTTGGGAAAAAAAAATCAAAATTTTAGAACAATATTTTGCAGTTTAACTCTGAAACTGCAAAACCGAATGTTAATCAAAATTTATCTATTTATCCTCTTCAAGAAAATTTTGAAACTGTAAAACCGAATGTTATCAAAATTTATCTATTTATCCTCTTCAAGAAAATTTTGCCGAAAATATCCTATCTAAAATATGTAAAATATTATGTATATTATATTAATATTGTTACGTTGGGTGGGCGAGTAAAATTGGCGTGGGTAAAATTCAATAATCCGTTCCCCAAAAGGTGGACTTTATTCAAACAGTACGCGGTCCTTCTCGAAGCCCACGTCACCGCTTCTAGACTTCTCCGGAATCTCTATTCTTCTCTCAGTCGCATTGAAGATGAATCATCACCGGCGTAAGACCAGAGAGTTCTCGACGGACATAGGCGTCGTACCGAGGCGGCGTAAGGGTGTATTTCGTTACAGTATTATATTTTGCCTTCTTGTTTTCTTAATATACGTTCTTCTTTTCATAACAAAACACTTACTAGTTTAAAATTCCCCCACTCTGTTAACTAATGAAAAATTCATGAGAATCAGATCGCAGCCGATGGGAGGGGCTTAATTTTGTTTTTTTTTTTTTGTCTTAAGATATATAGTTTTCTTTCATTAATATAATACTTAAAATCTCAAATGTTGAATTTGAGGTTAGAATGATGTATTTTTACCCTTTTATTTCATTCGAAGCATCTGGCCACACTGCGCCACACTTATAATGACGTTAAAATTAATATACTTATAACAACTTTTACTGTCACACGAGATTATCATAATCGAATTCTTCCTCAAAAATGAAACGAAAAAACACCGCAAACTTTCAGTGACTTAAATAAATCATGTTTTTCTTTAGCAGAAGCCTATATTAATTGCCATAGTGTCACAAAGCAACAAATGAGCGCCTTTAATAACATATGCACGTTCGACCAATCAAATTACACAAACTACGGTTGAACGATCTCCCTGTCGAGGTCTTTCAATTCTGTAGATACTAGTGATCACAAACAATTTTTAAACTCATATTTTAATGACAGCAAAATTTTTCTTAATAATTTTTAGCTTCTCAATTACACCACTAAATATTTTTTTAACAACACCTGAACGTGCTCGCTTCGCTCGCATTTTGGCTGTACTTTTTGTAATTCATTTAGTGTTTAAAAAACATTGACAAAAGCTACTTAGGCAATTTATTTCAATGATCACAAACAATCTTTAAACTTATGGGTTATCAATGCATTTAAGTTTTTTAGAATTATTTATACAGGGCGATTAAAAAAAATTAATGAGGCAATCTGTTTTATTGATCAAATCAATAACGGCTCAAACTCATTTGAAATATGCGCATAGCGTGCTTATTTACCTGTATTTTAACATTATTATTAATCATTCGCATGTACTTCAGGGGCGAGAGAAGTTCTACCTAAATAATTTTAAAATTGATTTGATAAATAGTTTCATCTCTTTTTGATTTTGAATTATTAAGAAAAAAAATTAACACACTCTCATAGAAGTCATTTGGGCGTACAATTTTGATAGATATTTTCACATATACTGGATATTTATTTTCAAAGTTACAGACCCTATTATTAGGATTCTTTATTTGCATTTAATATGGAAAAATAAAAAAAATAAATATTGACAGACGTCATATCTAACAAAAAAGTTCAAAAGTGTTTTAAAATAACATGTATGTTTCATTTTTGAAAGATTTCCTAAAATTGACAATTTACAGATTTAGTCATCCTTCAAAAATAAGTTTTTCTATTTTCGTGTCTAAAATCTTGATTAGCGTACGTAAATAATAATTTAATCATAAGCCGTGGCTTTGAAGTCTTTAAACATGGGTTGAATTTGTATTCGGAATCATTAGTCACATTTTGAGTGCCTTCGACTTGGCTAAAAACAATCTGAAATCTAGTTGCTTCTAATAATATTTTTTCTTATCACTTGTCATTTCGAAAAGATTTGGGACAAAGTGCATTTGAATGAAGATGGATGCAAACATTACTGAAAATGAAGATATTTTCATAGGCATTCCACATTTTGGGAAAATGTTTTGTTCATGTACTTTCGAACCTTGAATAAGTATGGTTTTAATTTGAAGTCGTAGAAAAAACATAGTACGTAACATGTTGATAAATTTCTCTAGACACTCGTTTTTTGTTCCATTAGCGCTTGTGCCTAAATAAACTCGTATCTAACGAATCGTTTATAAAACTTGCTACATAGTATATACTAATAAATTTTGTTTGATTAAAATGTTTTGAGAAAAATTCCAAACTTGAATGTCTTGAATAATGGTGATGCTGTGAATTTTTTCTATAAAATAGAAATATTTTGAGAAACTGTTGGTAAAAAAACCCTTGTTATCGTAAAATAAATCAATCTATACACACCTGCAATAAACGTACGAGTATATTAATAATAATAATACTCAAGGGCATGCGTTTCAAAATACAGTTGTTTCATACTTTTTTGATAAGACGTCAACAACTTTCTGGGAATAAAATCTTATTAATGTAAATTCATGTGTAGTCCATAAATCAATGTTAGTGTCTTATGCAGCATTTTAACTACAGTGTAAAATTTGTTTATATAAGTTAGTTTTTTTCCAGCATAAATACAGCTTTAAAATACCTAACTGATCTCTGAATTATTAAACTACAGGCCAATGGTATAAACAAATTAGGTTGCTATTTTACCTCCTCGATAGTATTAACGTATACATAAAATTTCAAAGTAATCGGTTCAGTAGTTCCTAAAATTATCCATCTAATAAAATTCCTAACAGACAAACAAAAATTAGACGTTCAAAAATACTTTTTCATTCTCACATGGTCGTATATCGAGTTCGTTAAAAATACTAGATGCAATCAAGTTCAGCTCGCCTGCGTCTTCAGCATGTTTACATTCTTCCACTTTGTATAATATGTATGGGTTCCAAATTAACGTCCCTACTTCTTAAGCTCAACGACACGGTAACTGGAAAACGGCAACTAATCGAAATAAAACCAAGTGAAAATGTTGTTAAAGTTAAGCTTTTCAGATCTCTAAGATAGACTAACTTGTCAGCTTATCTGAAATCTAACTACCACTTAAAGCCGAATGCACCGGCTATGCAGAGATTTACGCCGTCTCCATCTGCGTTTTATTGAGCCGACTAACTATGCATTTGTTGGAAAGTGGCAGCATGCAATTTTGGCGGATGCGCCCGGTTAATAGAGATTCTTTACGACAAAGCAGCTTGTAAGGGTAAATTACAGAAGGACAAACGATTGGGCAAAATCGATCTCTAACTAGTTTACAACGTATCCGAAAACTATTCGAACAATAAAAGTTGACGTAACGCAAAACTGATACGACTAACCCGGGTATTTTACGACGACATTCTAAAATTAGGAAATAAGAACGGCAAAAACACAGAAGAGGTAAGAGGAAGGGACGATGGCATGGCTGGAACGTGTGACACTATAGAAAAAAAATGGCCTGTCCCATGCCGGCGATGTCTAGTTTAATAAATAGTGCTACGAGTACAAAAGCGTTTTCATTGTAGCGAATTTCTGTTTTTTATTGTTCGCAAAAAATGAAGAGATTTTAAACTTAACTAAAATTTAGTTTATCCAACATAACAAATAAGAAAACTAACCCGTCACTGGAAAAAAGAAAGACACCAATAGCTACTTACCCGCAATGGCAAGTTGCCTGATGAAGAAATTCATTCTGGATTTTCGACTTTTGCTAACGAGGAGGGCAACTAAAACGGCCGAATTCCCCAAGACGATCATTGTAAACAGCACCCAGAGTACGGCGAACTGTTCGGCCTGGAACAACAGATAACTTCTTAACACACTTACTTAATGTACCGACAACTCCACCTGAGCTTTTGTAATTTAAATTACCACGATTCGCTGGCTCTCAATTAAAGCACTCTTCAAACTTTTTTTAATTAAATTCACACCTAATTCTGCATTACCAAAGGGCATTGCGTTGTAATGGAGTTGGAAACACTAATTTCCGAGATTGTGAAATTTGGAGAACTTTGCAATATTTGAGTTATTCGTTTAAATAACTAAAGTTGGGAATAATATGCACCCACCTACGTACATCCGTGTAACTTAATCAAGTCGGGAAGTTCTAAGAGCGAGTTTCATAACTTTATATTAAGTAGGTACTAAGACAAATTATTAGGAAATGAAGTCTTTTTTCTCCTAGTTTATTACCGCTTATACGAAATTAACATAACTTTATATTATTTTTCTAGACTGAGTTCAACGAACAGAGTTTCAAAATGGAAGCTACAAGTAACATTTGTTTTGTAATGTTGGTATCATGTTTTCAAGAATGTCACTAATGTCACATTCACCGTTATCTTATGTTATTTTTATTGAATGTCAAAAAACACGTTTTTTGAGGATATCAGAGGAATAGAAAAAAATTAAAAAGCACAAAAACAAAAGACTAAATATTTTTTTATTTTATGAAATTGTGTTTTCCATCAGTGAGTCATAATTCTTTAATAAAATGTACATTACAAATTTATTATTTGAGTCAATTTCGTGTTACAAATTAAATATCGAAAATCTGAAAGAACTTGTTTGTACATTTAAATTTTGTTAACCTTCTCTTTTAACATGAAAATAGGTCGGTATAAGTAAATTCTTTTTATTATAGGGGTCAAAAAGACCTTCTAGGTATATAAATAACGTCAAATGAGGCTAAACAGATTTGATTCGGTAGTTCTTTCGAGAAATCAGTTTCTTCATTCAATAAACCCTCAAATTTAGCCGTGTTCCAGTAAAGACAAGATTTCCGAAGGATCAATTGAAAAGCCGACCCAGAAATTAAATTAAACCCGCTTAAAAATAAACAACAAAAGTCTCCATTAACTGAATACAATAGCAACAAATTGAATACAAGGGAACACGTTCTGAATAAATTTATAGCTGTACTCCAGAATCACTTACTGCGAACTAATGCAAATTATCGGCGCTAAAATTTCCTTGTGAACACATTAAAGCCAAGCCAAAACTTATAATTTCATTAAATTTCCTATTTTTAAAGAGCGAAGTCGTCCGCAAGAACTTAATGCACGCACTAAGTGATAAGAAACTTAATTTTAAAGTCAACAGAAAGCTTTCAGGCCGCAATCTTCGAAACTCGAGTATTTGAACTGGCTTAAGAGTTGGTCATTTCGATTTCTTGTAAGTGGCGTGAATTCAGCCGAAAATTCCAAGACATCTGGGAAGCCACCGTGCTCAATTTCGTGTGGTGAAGGCGAATCGCGCCCTAATTGCCGAAATCGATATCGGCACCAATCTGCAGTTATAATTGGGCTATTGCACTTGGAAAAATCAGAAGCGATTATCAGGGAGAAGAAATGGCAACGCACATTTCTGTAATAAAATTTGTGAGGCTATCTTTCCGCGACATTAAACTGTATTTCAGTCAACATTTCCTACGCGCCCCCGATTTACGACTCGTAAAATCAGTTGAGAATATCTGATATTTGGTGGCCCGCGATCTACGCTTTTGTGGCAACTTTTCTTCGGCTTGTCACGGTCAGTTTTTAGGGGAGAGAGAGAGGTGAATGTACTGGTGTTGGGATATTACTTGGGAGACAAACAACTCAATCATCTGAGGGATTTGACACATGGAACTAGGGTCAGTGGGGAAAAGTTGTGGAAGCGGAGGTGTCTGAAAAGTAGTTGCTACTTTATGGACACTTGAATATTTTCCGCTTTTTGTTTTTTCAATGAGAAATTAAACTTGGGAACTTTTGTGACGTAATGCAGATGTTATCTACTATATTTCAACGTTCCCATTAGATAAGTGGGCAGAGTGAGCGGAAATTTTCAGTGCGGAAAATTCAGCAAGTCTTTATATTCTGAGGTTTCTGAATACCACTGTGTTTTTAATACATAGTTGGCCTTGTCGAATATTTTTATTCTCACAATAATTCAAAACTAAGGAGTGCAAAAGTTCACTAAATACATTTGGTTTAATTTGCTCTTATACCTATATGCAATTTGTGAAGAAGGCAGGGTTTTCGTTCGGAAAGTAAAAATCTTTATCTCTCAATCTACTTTGGGTTAAGCACAACTACTTTAAAACAACTCTTGCTCGAAATTTGTTTAGTTATGGTTTTGTTGATAACAGAAGAAATATTTTGTAGAATATGTTGGGAACATCGAAAAACCGTAAAACATTGGAATGAGTTTATGAAACTGAAGGCTAATCCTAATTTCTAATCAGACATTATTTAATTATAAAATCAGATTTTACTCCATATTTGTCACGAAAATAGTTTTCGACTGATATAATAGTGATTTTTTGAGAAAACCTTTCAAAAATTTTCCCAAAGTTATTCCAACAAATCACCTGTATACCAATGACATAAATAACACCGCCCAAACTCTGCGTCGCCGGGTGCAAATTCCAAGGCGGCGTAGTCCGCATACGTGCGGAAATGCGAAATTATTTGAAACATATAACTAATGAGAAAACATGTTTTCTCAATGTCTCAGTACATGCATAACTTCGACTGTTTATGTTTATACCTGTGAAAGAATTCGACTAGTAGAACTTTCCGATAACAAGCGTCTGTGTTAAAAGAAAATGAAATTTGATTGATTCTGTCTCCTCAAAAGAGACAATTTAATTAACTAAACTGCAATAAAACAAAACGGGGAGCTATTATTATGATAATTATTATTCTATTATTAGTAAATATAGTCAGGTACGACATTACTGTATTCGTTTTTTTCCGAGACAATGGGGTAAACCGTTCTTGATTTGAACAAAAGAAGGGAGTGCCGCCCGCCAGCTTCAATCTCCGGACCTTGTTAGTTGTTAGATTGCTTCCTTCCTGTATTTCTAATATACAGGTAAAATTTTACAACAATCGGTATAGTATTTTCTAAGATTATCTCTTTAATAAAAATCGGCACAGACGACAAACAGCCGAAACAGAAGACCACTTTTTTCGTACTCTGGAGTCAATCTTTGTCACCAAAGCACAAACAATTTCTTATATCATTACGAGAATAATTTACAATAGACACTTTGTTAGTATTTTAAGATGACGATTTTCTCATAAGGATGAAAAATTATTTTATGTATTAAAGATTTTTTTAATTAAGATGACACCATCAACCCTTTGGGGGCGTGAACAAACAAATTTTATCTTATCAAAGCTTAAAGTAAGTCTAGAGTCTGAAACCACAACATTAATTTTAGAAGAGTCCGTATACATATGTGCATTAACTTTGCTTGTTAAACTATATAAATATAGTGTGACAAAGAATATTGTAGTTTTACGACTTTGATACCTTTACTGCTGTTGTCACCTTATTGGATGCAAATTTTTGACCTCTTTGTTATGTTTTTGATATGTGTCTTCCAAATAAGACCGTATTCATTTAAGATGCTTTTTGTTGCACACTAGGAACTTAGAAGAGTTAAAATCATAAAACCACTATATTCTTTAACATGCTATACACATACCCATTTATCATAAGATTTCCTTAGCACCAATCTAAGATGAAGTGACAATTTTTGGTACGAGTCGATGAAGAGAAATTTTGGTTAAAATCTACGCGATAACATATAATAATTACATTTTGCCTTGTTGTTTTAATATGTGTAGACTTATTTTCACAACAAGAAACTTAAAACATGTTTAAAATCGAAAATTTGTATAAGGAAATATCGATTTTGCAATTAGGTTACTCCCCATAGATGCAAAATCGATATTTCCTTGCAAAAAAGTACCATTTTAACCTTTTTATTGTGAAAAGATGACTATGTATATTAAGAAAAAAAAATGGCAAAATATAAAGCCCGCCCACCCGCCCTGTCTCAATTCTGATGATTTTTTTTATTCGTCGTAAGCCGAGAGGCGGAGCTTAATTATAAAATTCTTATTTTTCTATGAGAAATTATCATCTGAAATATGTTCTTAACTAATCGTGTTATACAAAGAAATCTAAATGTATTAATTAAAAAAGAAAACCAGAAGAGAAATCCCACTCATCCGCCTCAATCCCAGTCGTGACGAATTTTTCATTCGTTGTCAGACCGAAGGGCGGAGCGTAATTGCAAAATCCATGTTTCCCTATACAAGTTTACCTTTTTAAACATGCTTTAAGTTTCTGGTTGTGAAAAGATGACTACGTATATTTAGAAAAAAGGAAAACTATAAACCCCACCCACCCGCCCTATCTCAATTGTGATGATTTTTTTTTTAAATCGTCGAGAGCCAAAGGAGCGGAATTTACCATTAACACGATTTTAACGATTCTTCTGTCAGTTCCACATGCCAAAATCCATGTTTCTGACAATTTTAAACGTGTTTTAAGTTTCTAAGAATTAAAAAAATCATCACAATTGAGATAGGGTGGGTGGGCGGAGTTTATATTTTGCCTTTTTATCTTAATGTACATAGAATTCTTTGAAAAACAGGATACTCAAAAACCTGTTTTAATTTCTTGTAAAGAAATAAGTATTTTAAAGTTAAGCTTCAAATCATCAGCATAGGCAAGTGCATGCCAAGATAATGATTTAAGAAGATCATCAACGAACAAATGAACAACAGTGGTCCAAGATTGGATCCTTGAGGCACGCCTGACGTTGAGACATATTCCTGTGACTTATAATCATTGTAGAAACATAATTAATTCGATCTGATATATGACATTATAAGGGCCAGGAATAATGGAGCAAGTTTGCCTAAAAGAATTTGATGACCCACAGCATTGAAGGTACTTGAAAAGTCGGTGTATACCACAGCAACTGGGCCGTTATTATCCAATTCTTCACAAAT